TTTATGCAGCTTGGACGTATGCAGGATAGTCAGGCAGATAGTGTGGCGGGCCTAGCCAAAGTTGTACAGGACCGGTTGGACAACTTAACGCAAAATAATGATAAAAAACTTGAAAGTATACGGGAAACGGTCGATGAGAAATTGCAGCAAACCCTTGAAAAAAGGCTAGGAGATACATTTGCCATTGTGGCTGAGCGATTAGAGTCCGTTCATCGTTCGATTGGGGAGATGAGTAATCTTGCACAAGGGGTGGGCGATCTTAAAAAAATTCTGTCCAATGTCAAAGTGCGTGGTACGTGGGGTGAAGTACAATTGGCGATGTTACTCGAGCAAATGTTAACACCCGATCAGTACAGTGCCAATGTGGAAACCATCAGTGGCAGTGGTCAGCGGGTGGAATACGCCATACGTTTGCCAGGGCGAGAGCACCTTGAAGCTGTGTGGCTGCCGATTGATGCGAAGTTTCCCAAAGAGGCCTATGAACGTTTGTTGCAGTCACAAGAAGCCGCAGATCCAGCAAGTGTTTTGCAGGCGCAGAAATCCCTTGAACAGGCCATTAAGGTGGAGGCCAAACGCATTCGAGAAAAATACATCTCGCCACCACAAACCACGGACTTTGCGATCATGTTTTTGCCGACGGAAAGTTTGTATGGTGAAATTGTGCGAATCCCTGGGATGGTAGAATCCATTCAGCAAGAGTATCGAGTGGCGATCACTGGTCCCACGACACTGGGTGCCCTCCTGAATAGTTTACAAATTGGTTTTAGAACGCTTGCGCTCGAAAAGCGTTCGACAGAAATTTGGCAAGTGTTGGGGGCGGTCAAAACCGAGTTTGGCAAATTTGGTGATATATTAGCAAAAACCCGAGAAACACTCGAAAAGGCGGCCAAAAATATTGAGCAAGCAGAAGTGCGTAGTCGCGCGATGAGTCGTAAGCTGCTTGCCGTCGAAAGTGTCGAAACACAACCTTCGCAGGAGGCGTTAGATTTAAATGCAACACTTAATCTGCCGTTTGATGAGTGAAGTTTTGCTTGGGAAATGCCGATGAATACGATTTCACGTGCGAAACTTAAGGT